AGGCCAAGAAGGCTTTTGATTTGACTAATCGCAATTAAAATTTTAAAAAAAGTTATTTTGCTTAGAAACGGTCGTTGATTATTTCGTTTCCGTGAGCTTCATTATTCCTTTAAGTATTGTGCATATTTTCATCGGGCGGTGGCGGTAATTTTCCTCGCCGGATTGTGAGATCGGCTAGCGGGGTTTTCCTCAACCAGGTTTCTCCCACTAGCGGGGCACCGCTCCACCCGGGACAAGGTTTAAGCTCCCGACTTGTCTCTCGGCATGTGAGGTAGTGTGGTGCATGTAAGTGTAAATGTAAGTAAGGGGTGATGATAGGACAATGCGCTGAGCCACTTAAGTCGGTAGAATCTGTAAAATATTGTGAATTTGATGAATGTTCTTTTAATTAAACATAATTGTATGCAGATGTGTTGAATAAAATGCGTTTTGCAGTAAAAAATGCACCACTTGCACTATCCAAAGAACAAAACTAATATGTGCAATAAAACATTGAACATTTCAGGGAATTTCCAAACTCCGGAAAAAATATTTCTATATTTACTTCCATTCCATTTCTCATTATTTTTTTTCTTCACAACTGTAGTCTCGATTGAGATAAATTGAAGAAATTCTTTATAGTATTGCTATAAGAGTACGTACTTTCTCGAATTATTTGTAACTGATTGGAACATATTATTTCTGACGGTTACGTAATATTAAAGTATTGCTGCTTACCAATTTTCAGCTAAACTGTCTTCAATCTAAAAAAGCGCGAAAGGTTTCTGACTTCCTTCTGAAATAAACATTATAATCCTATACAAACGAGTTCGTAGAAGTGCAAGTGCAATATGTGTACAAGAAAGCATCCTCGTATATAACGGCAAGTGTGAATCCCGCTAATTCAGGAATTTGATAGTTAATATTCTTATTAACAAAAATGTATGGATAAAAATCCGTCCGAAGTAGGAGCAGCTTTGAAGTACAATTGAAAATTTAACCGGAAGGCATAGACATTAGTCAGCATGGGATGGCTAAGGTAGGCGAAGTATTATGGTGCCGAGGAATAGCGAATAGGTGCACGATAAACAGGGAACAATAATGGTGGGAATTTTCTACCGCGTGAGCGACAAGAAGTGTAGTTTCAAATTCCACTGTATCAGTTGCAAATTTCTATTTACAGGATGCCTCCTTATGTCCTAATCTACGCTCACTATATACCTCAGTTGACACATCGCTTCGCATTTCCGAATTAACGACGAGGCTTCACTCTTCGGCTTTCGCAATATATATTAAACAACCTTGAGTGTGCATCGCCTAATTTCCAACGTATGTTTATACCGAAATACTTCCTGAGAACACACAATACGCCTCACACTCAGATAATGACCTTACTTTAGTCGGCCGAACACTACCCAGCTGAAGTCCGAAATCATTCTTGCATTTTCACTCATACAACATTATCCACGCCGTGTGGATAATGTGCGAATAAACTGGTTACTTCTCACATTAGCCATATTTTTTACTTGAAAAGTATGCAAAGCATTTACGAACAGAGAATCATCTGAATTTACAAGAACTTTAACTTTCTCTGGCTTACAATTACAGAATTGAGAGTTTTCACAATGTTGTGTCGACCCCTTCATTTTGTAATTAGTAAATGTTATATCATTTCCTGATGACCGATCCGAGGTGTGCACTGGGGCAGTAGGTTTCGGGTAGTATGGAAGCGTTTACAAGCCGCCTGAGCTCCCTCAACGATTCAACGCCCTAATGAGATTCCCCGCCTTCTTGCTTTGCTTCCCCTCTTCCCGCCCTCTATGTCTTTCTTCTCCTCGCTCTCCCTTCTCGTCCTTCTGTCCCTTCTTTCCCTTCCCCCGCCCTCCGCCAAATGACCGCGGTCAACCCCAACGGGCACGTTTCGAATTTCAAATTAAAATGGAATTAAATCTCTTTTGCAAGCATAGTTTCTCAGAGTTTGATATTTTGCATGCGCTATCATGAATTTTAATGTAGCGCTGCGTCGCGCTTTTCCCAGAAGTGGCCGGTACCTCCCGTTCCGCTCTCCCACCCCTTTCTTTCCTCCCCGTCTTCTGCCCGTGCCAGAGAGTATGGCCCGTGCCGTCCCAGAGCCTCTTGCCCGAGAGCCCCAGATAACCTGTCCGTGTCCGAAAAACTCCTTCTCAAACTTGCGTATCATTTAGTTCACAAGAGGATTTGCTTGTTACCGCCGAGTTCCCCGACCCCTAGCGTAGCGACTCTTCTCAGAATTTGCGGTGCCGGAAACGAAAATTGTACTAATTTAATGATAAATGATATTGGCGTATTAAAATACCAGTCATGCTAGAAAACTATCGATCATAAAATTAAAATCTCCGGAAACTCCTATATTATTTTCTTGAAAATTATATATATATATATTCAGTCACGTTAATATTCGGACAAAGCCCTCTTTCTTTTTCTTATACATACTTACACAATTTCAAGTACATATTTACTTACAATACGCGACATTTTTTACATAAAACATCTACATCTTTATTGCAAGTGTCAACTAGAACAATAAAAGTTTAAAGAATTCGAAACAAAAACACTACGGTTGTATTCGGAAGGGAGAATGTAACTCCAGTTTAATATTTAGACAACTCATCGTAATTGGAAATAATTTACGAGGTGGAAATAATTTACGAGGAGGTGAGGTGAAAACATTCCTAACCATGAACCACAGTTTGTGTTCAGTAACTATTTTGACAGCAGAAGTAGCAGATCTAAGAATGATGGACCGAAAAAAAGGAAACACTACATTCGATTAGCGACAATTGGAGATTGTTCATCCTGCCAAGGGCAGTACGCAAAGATAAATAGCAGAAATGTTAAATATTTATAATAGTACTATTAATGACATAATACAGAGAGGTAAAGGAAAGAAGACCGGATTGAATCTAAAACACAGAGAGGGTCCAGTCAAGGTCGGAAGAACGCGTGTTATTGCGACAGATGAATAAAAATCCCAGAATCAGTAGGCGAGTTTGGGGAGCAATTGTCGAACTGTCACTTCAAGGAGAACTTCTGTCCATCCAGAAACTGTGAACAGAGTGCTAAGATATGTTGTATATAATGGGCGAGTAGCTAGGAAGAAAGTCATCAGCGAGGCATATAGAAAGAATGCAATTCCCAAAGTAGTATTATACATAGACGAAGAATGACGAAAAAGTGTCGCATTAATGGTCTAGAGGTGTTCGGATCAGATGTTAGGCAATTGGGGACGAGAAGTCTAAATGAGTCGCTTGATAATAAGAATCTCATTCTAACAGTAAAACACTGAAGTGGGTACGGGATGATATGGGACTGCGAGGCCGCTAGTGGAGTGGGAAAAAATTTGCTTTTGTTCAAGATGCCGTGGACAAAATGCGGTATCCGTATATTCTCAAGAACAATGGGCACAGAAACGCAGAGAAACTAGGAATTAGAAACTGTTTTAAATTTTTCAAGGCAATGACACTAAACATAAGGCCCACATTGTGAGGGAATGGCTTCTCTACAACTGTCCCAAGGTACTACTCAATTCTCCAACACAATCTCCAGACTTAAAAGCAATTGAGAATCTTTGGCCCATCAGAATAGAATTAGAAGTTACTATTCCGAAACCCAACATTCGGTCAAAAAAGGAATTAGAAGAAATATTATGAGAAGAATGGTGGGAAATTGAGAGCAATTATACACAAAAATTAGTAACTTCAATCTCTGGAAAACTGAAAGAAGTGTTAAAAAAAACTACAAAATATTAAGTTGTAGATTACTGTTAATTAATCACCTTTTCATGTGTTTCCCAAGTATTAAAGTGGCTATAAAATTTTGTATCCCATAAGATCTGTACAAATTTGTGAACATTATTTTGTTTAGTAGCCTATTATACAAATATAATTTCATTTTGTTTAGTAATAATAAATTGATATTTATATTTTTTGTTCTGATGTTTTGCCTTTAAATAATCATAAATAAATTACGAAATGTGATAGCTTACAGTTTGCACAAATATTAATGTGACTGTCTGTACATCAGTGAATTAAAATGAAGCATCAATTTGACATGCTCTTGTCTCTTTCTTAAGCATTTGAGGTGATTGACCACAAAAGTTTACTTTCAAAATCTGATAAGATAGCTTCATATGGAATTTGAGGCATTTCCTTCTATCAGATATCATCTTACCTAAAACATCACAGGAATTCAGTAGGGTTATAGTAATTTAGGCCTTGTTCTCTAACCTCTGTATAAAAATACAATGCCTTCATCTTTTTTATGTTTCTTTCTTTATTTTTTTAAAGTTAGTATTAAATATTTTTTTAAGAACTATTGGCTACCCGGGTCCTTAGAGTCTATGTGTTATCTCAGCACTGATTACAGATTTGTATAATTGTTTATATCATAACATAAGAAACATAGTAAGTAGGTAATCTGGAATTAGTATCAAGTGTTCCCTATGAAAAGTCTACAAACAATAAGCCTTCTTGCATGTTAGTTTACAACACATTACCAAAGACCACACAAGTTCAAATGCTAGGAAAGGTTTTTGGACTATAGTATTACTATTCTAATCAGTTGTTTTTTTTTCCATTGCTCTTTTTTTGCACCATGTTTCTTAGACTGAACTGACAATGAGCATAATATTACAACATAAAATTTGTTATAACAATGATACTAATGTATTTTATCAAGCATCATGCTAAAAAATTAAGTATGCCTGTAACATCAATTGTAATCAGTTTTGAGGTCAATGATGCTCATCTCAGTTAGATTTTTTGTTCACTTTCTTTTGATCCACTGTTCAAATGCTTAAATCCCATGTTTTTCTTCTGAATGAATAAGGAGGAGAAAAAGAAGCTCCCTCCCAAATGATACACATACTGCTGTTGGTGTGTGTTAAATATTTGCAATGTTTCAATATTTGACTTGTGTTCTAGTATTATAATGACTTTTTTTTAATTTGACAAATTGTACATTTATTGCTCAATTGTGAATAGGTATCGTGATGGACAGAAGTTGGAATTGTCTCCCGATCACTATGTAGGTAATGAAAAAGACACTGCACTTCTCATCAAGAACTCCACACGATATGATCAAGGTGCATACACATGTGTTCTGGAAAATTCTGTTGGAAGTGGGGAGTCCAAAAATGCCATCTATGTTGCAGTTTATTGTAAGTAAATTGTCTGAACCAGAAAATCTGTTCGATTTTGAGTTTGAATCTTTTAAGTAGTCTATGTAAAAATGATTTTTATACTAATTCTGATAATTAATTCATTGATATAATGATTTTATTTGTTGTAGATAAGCCACAAGTTAAACTATTAATGGACCCGCCTAGCCCAGTGAGAGAACTCGATGCTCTTAATATTACGCTTACATGTAAAGTTGAGTCTGGTAACCCAGACACATTATTGGCTGTTCGTTGGTACCTTGGAGGAGACATTTTAAAGGAACTACCTGAATGTGATAATGCCTCAAATTCAGTAGATAGCACATTTTGTGATATTGATCCAAGCAAGTTATTGCTGGAAGATGTGGTACGTGCTTTTCATGGAAATTATTCATGTGAAGGAAAAAATGAAGCAGGCTGGGGGCCTTTGTCTGCAGAAGAGGAACTAGTTGTTCATTGTAAGTTTAGCATATAACTGATATTTAAGTGAGCAAATAGATAGATAAAGAGATAGATATATTTTCACATATGTTACTAAAAAGGAACTTTTTGAAAATAAATACTTTTGTTTATTTGCATTGTTTTGAAAATGACATTTAAATAATGGATATGTTAAGAGCAATAAAGTATCTTATTTCACAACATGTAGCCAAAAAATATTCAAAATGGTATTTGTTTGTGTGCAGATCCACCAGGTCCAGCGACATTAGTGTATGCACCAACACAAGTGGTAAAAAAGAGCCACGTAACATTGAGCTGCAGTGTTGAAGACCCAGGACGGCCAGCAACATCAACATTTAGGTGGACTCGAGGCTCTCATCATATCCATGATATGACCTCTGGTAATTGGACTATTGACCCTGTCACTTTGGAGACCCAGTCGAACTTCACTTGTCTAGCATACAATGAAGGAGGTGAAGGGGAGCCAGCCTCTGTTGCTATAAATGTGTCAGGTAAGTTTTCTTCAACTTGCCCCACTTGCTTCTCAGAATCACTAGAGATAAACATTTGTAGGGTTGAGGAAATTTTAAAAGGGATCTATGATTTAGAGGCTGATGGTATTAATATTGGTCATGAAGCGGTGTGTGATCAGTGCACTCAATATCAAGATTCCACAGATTGCAAAAAAATATTAATTAAGTTGATAATTGTTTTCTGATATGAAGCTAAAAAATAGATGAATAAATTACAAATCCTCTTCTTTTGCACCATCATTCATCACTATGAAAACGTAATAAATTACAATTACGTATTCACACCATTATTCTATCTCACAAGAAAATGTTTTCCTCAATATGTGCTATTGAAATGTAATTGCTGGTTCTTAAAAATTAAGATATTGTGAAAATTATAAATATCTTAGAAATTAAGATATTTTCCAAAATATTAGTGAGCAGAATTGTTGCTTGTAAGTCAACAACAGTCATATATGTGTAATTCTTTGTGTTATCATTATGTTGTATATTATAGAAAAAAATATAAAGGGATTGATGAGGCAATCCACTCTTTTAAGAGGGGTCAGTGTAAGAATGATGGAAATCCTGTTTTTAAACAGTCATTTGTTACACAACAATACATTCCAGACCTATTTGAACTCTATGATTATTTGTTGAAATGCTTTGGTGAAATTCAAAAATGAATCACCAAGTTATTTTAATTGCACCATAAAGATAATAAGGATATGATGCTCATGTTTAATTATGAATTCTTTTTATTTTTTTCCCCTCAGCTCCTCCGACATTTATTTCAAGATTGTTACCCTATTATGGAGCTCTTCTTACTAGCAAATATATTAATATATCTTGCCAAGTGGAATGTTCTCCAGTGTGTAGCATACAATGGCTAAAAAATGGTGTACTTCTTGAAACTGGAGATGGTACTCCTTACAATGTCATAGATGAGTATCGCCCTCCAAATTTTCGAAAAAATGATTTTGAATCCATTCGCTCAACACTGGTGTGGAACATGTCAGCATGGGAGGGCAGTCAACTTGATCGTGTACATGATAATGCAAATTATACTTGTCAGAGTTCTGGGAATGAAGTAGGTCCAGGAGTCCGAAGTAACACATTTTTTGGTGTGGAATGTAAGTATATTTTTTCTTTCTATGTTATTTTTAAAATTAATGAGAAAGTCATTAATGTTGATTTTATTTCTACAATGCAGACCCTCCAGAAAATATTTCAGTTTCCCATAGAGTGGTAAATGTTGTGGAAAATAACATACCAGGCAAAGTACGTTGTGTTGCCAAAGGTTATCCAAATGCAACTTATCACTGGCAACGTGTAGGTCAGTCACAAGAGCCTGCCATTAAAGGAGATATTCTCCACTTAAATTATCCTCTGTCACGTCACAAGAGTGGCAACTATACTTGTGTAGCTTCCAATAAGCATGGAAGTATTGCACAAAACATTACTATCAATGTCCAATGTAAGTGTGATCTATCCTTATAATTGTCATATTTGACAATTACATCAGTTAATTGTACAAATATTAAAGGAGATCTGATTTAAATACTTAAATTTTTGTATCGTGTCTTAAATTTTTTGTTTGCATCTCCTTTCTTTAGACAAACCTGAATGTGGAATATCACAATCTGAATCAGATGGTAAATTGGTATTAACATGCACTGCCACTGCTAATCCTCCAGAAGTTGATTTTGTATGGCATATAAAAGGTGAAAATGAAAGTATAGAAGAAAATGTTTTGAAGAAAGGTTATCAGTCTCAATTGATTTTGGAATCATATGTTGAAAATTTCCGCACTTACATTTGTGTGGCCAACAACAGTATAGGAACTTCTATTCAGTGTGAGCGTGATGTCACAGGTAAGCCCTCAAATTGCCAGTAAATCTGTCCTAAATATGATCCTGAAATTTTCATGGTATTTTAGTTCAAAATTCATTTCATTAGAATTACTGCCTTACAAGAAAAAACAAAAACAAACAAATAAATATTGTTTGAAGCTACAAAAGATTTACTAGTTAAAGCAGAAAAAAATATTACAAAAAAGCATGCAAATGTTTGTAAGCACATAAACGAATGCTAGAGCACTTTCTAAAAATCTTTTAACCTTAATGTTTATACACTGTTAAACAGAAGTATTGTAGTAAACCTGGAGGTAATAAAACATGTTATGAATATCTGTAAAATTTCACAAAAGTAGTTTCTTCACAACTGAAGCACATTTTAAATATTGTTATCTTATTGTTCTAAGAATAATAATTTAGGTGTTTTGAGTACCTGCCCCTCATGTACCTACTTTCTGTTTAGTTATGTAGATTATTGAATATTCAGTTGATGATACCTACCTAATATAATTTATAATTTTATTGTTGGTTAACCTAGTGGACAAAACACTGTACAACACACGCATTATTCCGAAATCTTAAATACTGACTTAGTTATCCAATGCTTTTAGCCTACCAGGAGAAAAGTAGTAAGTTCCGGGACACAGGTAGGCTTGTTTTCATGGTAGTGGAAATTCATAATAGTGCTTGCTGCATGCTGGCATGCATGCAACCATTTAGTAAGAAAAGCTAGCTATTCACTGAAGGTGCACTTTTAATTAAACCTGAGACCACAATATCTGTTTTACCTGCAATATCTGACTTGAAGTGAATGTATTTTTGTATCAGGTAATCTCTTATGACAAGATATATGATAAAGTTCTAAATAATTAATTTATAATATAATATGATTTACTTTTTAATCAGAAGAGCAGAAACCCTCTCTTTGAAAATATTGTTTGATCTTATTTAAATAAAAATAAAGTAGTTAAACAAGAAATTGTGGTCTTAGTAATTTTTCTCATCTACTGCATTTTTATAGCCTTCTGATTAGTGAGCACCAAAAGTAAATCAAAAAGGGTATAAAGTTGTTAGTTACAGATGCTTTTTTCAATACAGTAGTGCATCTTGCATTTGTTTCTATTCATTTTGCATTGTGAAATGAAAACTCAATTCATGAAGTAGAAAAAAGGTCATTTCTACTGTTGTATTTTCTACTCATGCTGAAATAATTTCTTTTCAATACTTCCATAGATGTGATAAAAAAATTAAGCATGTTGAAGAGATTTGTGAAAATGTAATTTTCAGGATTAGAGACTTGGAATTGAAGATGGTCTCAGACTTACCACTTGTCTCCTGTAGGTTACAAAATCATGTTCTCTAAAATATAATAAAAAAGAAAAATACATTTTATTAATTTTGCTACCTAAGGTGTGGGTGAATAGAACACGTCTTGAGTATGTGCATGGGTATTATCACACATTTTCACTCAATGCTTCTTGAGTGTGATACAATTTTTGTTGTGCATGGTCTGATTGCTCATCTATTCATTGGAGCATTAGATGGTTATAATTTATTTGATGCAATATTCAAAAATTTAACTATGGTCTATATTTTTGTGAAAGATTTTTTAACAATAGGAGCAACAACAAATTTGAAAGTTGTAAAAACTGCTTCTTGCAGTTTCTAATACAATATAAATTGTTTACATACTAGACTAAGTTTCACAAGTCAGGGTTTAATTCATGCATGTCTCAGATAAAGATTTATTGATTATAAATTGTAAACTTTCAGGTTGCTTTTCAATTTTTAAAGATTCATTCATAAGTGTTGTCCTTATATCCATTATTAAGGTACTTCATTTGCCATAAACATTAGTCTTTCAAATGGAGAACAACAATTTTTTCATCTTTTGTTTATTTGTCAGAAAGATTTTACTCTCAAAATTGTTTACCAACACATTGATTTTGTAACTTTGTTTTAGTTTGCTGGAATAATGTGACATGCTGTTATGTGAATCCATACACACTGAACAAAAACATTGTATATTATGTTGATATTTTTTTGTTCACTTGATATGTATAATTTAAGTAAAATAAAATGTTTGGATATAATATTCTTTACCAAATATAACAGTTAAAACATTAAATAATCTTTAGTGATTGTTAATTTAAAAAAGTAATTAAAAGATCATTCGTTTTTTTGGAAATTAACTTTCCTAAAGTTAAGAAGTATAAAAAAAATTCCATTAATTTTTCATTAATATTCCATTAATTCCATTAATATTTCAACAACTTATCACTTTCCTTCTCATTTTTACTTACTGTAGCCCAATAAATACACATGTTCAGAAATACACACATTGGTATAAGATTTATACACAGTTGTATAGTAAACTTAATAATTATCTACACTCAATATATTGCTTTTTCAGGTCATGTCATAAGTTGGTGGAAAAATTTTGAAAATGATAATTACAAAATTATCATTGCAGTCATAGTAGGAGCTATTCTGATGGTCATCATTGTTTGCATCTCAATTATTGTTGTATGCAGAAGAAAACGAGCTGATGATAAGTGTAAGTAATTGTATGTAGAACCCATGCATGCAGCCTGCACAGCCTGCACATTGCCTGAAATGCATGCAAGTAATGTTCAACCCCTCCACATATTTCACTTATTTAGTCAGATGTCTTGTGCTAGTTTAGAGTGAGAGAGTGTGAGAGTGAAAGAAAAATTTGTTGACAGTTGGTTATTATCCCTGAATAAAGAGCTTGTGCAATCTCATTGTAAGGCATGAGGTAATATCAATATCTCCAATTCTTATCTTTTTAATTTACCTGGAAGTCAGAAGTAAGTGGAAGTGTTAAAGCTATCTTTTTGACATCAGTTCCTTTGCAGAATTCATTGTTGTTCAGTTACAGTTTCTTTTCCATTTACATCCAAAAAGTGTATCTTGTGTCTGAGTGGTTAGTTTACCCTAGTTATCTTAACCCTAAAGATTTACCTTTTGTTTTCAATTTATGTTCCTCTTCTTTCTTGGATGTATTCTTCTTGCAAAAGAAGAATAAGTGGGAGGAGAAGCAGAAGAATCTTGTCATATTGTTCGCAAATTTATTTTCCTCGATATAAATTAAAATTCATAAAAAATGCAAAATTGAAGGAATGAAAATAATGAAAGAAATTCAAGGTTTGACAATTGTTTTACTGGGTGCACGTATTCCTCATAAGTTTTACAATTAAAATAAACTAAAACTATGCAGAGGTGTATAAATTGAATAATGGTAAATTTAATAATATTTTTCAGGGGAGTTGTCTCTATTGGTATACAGACCAGCTAACTTGATGTCTTATATTTACTTATTATACTTGATAGAAAGATTGTTTCAGCTACATTTGTTAAAGCTAAAGCATCAGAGACTAAAGCTTCAGAGCCCTGCCTCCCTCATCCCCATATGTGTACCTCTGATTATACATGTGTGTACTATAAAATACATTTAGTATGATGTATTCAATAGTATATGTCCCTATTGCTAAATACATTAAGCATATCTAAAAACTTTCTAACAATTTCTCAAATTCAGTAAGAAAACTTAATTTCTTTGAGTGATGTGTAAGACATGGAGTGTGGCTGAGAAACACTGTTCACTAAGCAAAATATTCCTTCATGACTGATAAGGTGAAGGGACAGATGATGCAAACTTAGACAATACCACCAACTGGGAATACCTCAAATTGAAGCAAACCAACTGAAGAGTTGTCCAAAAATTAGTCATTAAGCACTCAGCCCTGACAAAGGGTTAATAATATTTCTGTTGTCATGGGTTCCTCTCACTGCAGTCCTCAAGATCTGACTGTTAATCATTAGATTAGAATGAGAAAATGTGGTACATTATAGGTACAGTTATATTTTCCCATCTGAAAGATTTTAGAAATATGGTCAATAGAAAAGCACATGCTAGTGGGACTAGACATAGCACATATTTTCTCACATTTCTTTCTAAATTTGCAAGTTTAGAAAATTTAGAGAGTTCAACAAAAATGAGATCCAAGCCATTATTTTAAGCATTCCATCTTCATTCAGTGGAAAAAATGTAAAGAAAAATTTGAAGTAGTTCATGAAGAAGAAAAAAAAAATTAAATAATATATGATATAATTTTTTTTAATTGCCTATATTTTGCACCAAATTAAATGAAAACGACTCATATTTTTGAATAGTTGAACTTGAACTTATTTAAAGTTCCATCTTAAGGAATATTTTTCATTTGCAATTTTCAAAAAATCTGGGATTTCAACGAACGTGAGATGCATGATTACGTAACTTCCTCTTCTGATGAAGTAGGAAGAGATATAAGACCAAGAAAGTAAAAAAGTCAATTATCTTCTTTTAAACCTTTTCCTTCTGCAATAAAAAGTACTGCACCTACATTAATCTGCAATATTAGTGCATAGCTTTGTTACAAGTGCATCCCTTAATATTTTATTTTGAAAACATTAAAGTCTTTTGTGCTAACTGGAAAATCATTCAACTCATTATCTGAAAACATATAAAATCCCAATAAGAATTGGTAGACATTGAAATTCTCCATTCCTGTATAAAACATAATACTCTCCTCGCTGACATCTTTTCCCTAGCCATGTAGTTTGTGTTGGGTGCTGAGCATGCACATTTTTTTACTGCAGGGCTGCTAGACTGTGGGTGCTCTTGCATGCATGTGGTTTTGGGAACAAAGCAAAGGATGATATCTCCGGGACATCGAATCCCTTCAAGCTACAGTCTTGATGGGCAAATCAAGTAACATCACTTGCTAATGCAGAATGACTGTTACACCTCTAAACAAGCAAGCTGACTAACATATGTTTTACCTTTAATTTATAGACAATAATCCAGTGGAGCTGGAGGAAAGAGAAAAGTAAGTGTCTAACACAATCTTGTTGTAAATCTGTATTAGATGAGAGGTAAATCTCAGCTATTACAAGTCCTATGAACTAAAATGTCTTTATTACCTAACACCTTTGGATGTTACTAATGGCTTGTAATGGCTGTGTTCCTCAGTTAGTTGTATCTAAAATATTTTGTAAATTCTTTCTAAATTTCATGTACCATGTATGGATATTAGATTTTTGTAACTGACAAGTTTTGAAAAACTAGAAAAATATTCCATTCATATTTGTGAAAATGGCAGACTTCTTGTAAAGTTAGTTTTATATACTGATGCAGACTTGTAAACAAGTAATTTCTGATAATTTACCATTGGTATATATTCATTTATAAGTACATGCAACTTCTGTATTTTCTAACATTTTAGTTATATAATTTTGTACTAGTATGTGAGCATGCACTTCAATGTTCTTCCTTCTAAAACTCCCTCCTCATCTGTGAAACTGTCTGTTTTTCTTGAACTGAAACTGTTGCCAGAGAAGGATTCCCATGTATCAAGAAATAATAAATTTTATATCCATAAATTGTGGATTGGTTATTTTGTATTTTTGTTGTAATGCTATTATCACGTATTAAAAAATATTTTTACAGTTCATCAATTTTTGTTTTGAAAATATTTAATGCTGTACGAATTTTATCACATAAGCTAGAAAATTTATCCCTTTCAAATTCTTATGTATATGGATGAAAGTACATTGTATTGTTTTCACTTGTGTAATAACATTGACTACATTAGAATAAAGAGGTAAGTTAACTGAAACAAAATGAAAATCAAAACAGAATGAAAAAATAAGTATGGTAAATTATTTAGACATTTAACTCTAGTCTTTTCAGCAGAACACAGGTTTGTGATGAATCTGTAATCTTCTAAATTCATGTAAGTATATATCAGTTTTCTTATAAAATGGTTTTCTGGGAATTGCTAGCTTTAGCTTTTGCACAATATAAGAATGTTTGGTATGCTCTGTTATATTTTTGCTTGAACTAATTATATTAAATACTAGTACATTTTTGTAACAACTATATATTCCAAATTTTTAATAATTTGGAATTATTAAAGTTAAGAAATACTTTAAAAGATACAATTATATAACTTATCCAACTATATATCATAGTTCTTCCAATTGTAAAGTACATCAACATTATCTAACCACACATAATTTTAAAATGTCTTGTAAAAAATGAAGTTCATTAAAATATTACCTTAACTCTGGGAATCCTGACTTCTTGCAGCAACATTTCAGTTACATTAAGATCTTTATCAGATTCATTCTTTGCTGTTTTTCATACTATTTTCAAGTTTTCAAAAATACATCTTTGTTTCTTTCCTTTATCTTTTCCATTGTCTTAAAAAAATTTAAAAAATTATTTTTATTATTTTGCAAATGTGATGAATAGTGTATGTATACAAATGGGCGTATGGAGTGAACTAGGAGTTAACTGAAATGTTGGGCAGTAATTAAATTAGTTTTATGATAACATAGTCATTAGCAACCAAGTTCACTACCAAGCCCTCAGAATTACTTTCCATTCAATGGTGAGATGAAAAGTCACTTTATTTTCTTCTAATTTATGTACCTGCATAACTTTTTTTTTTTTTTTTTAGTTTCTTTAAAATTAGTCCGTAATATGCATCAATTTCACATTTTTCCCATTTGTAGCTGCTCCTCTACTATTCTGTTACAGCTTTCTCTTAATAGCTTTTTTTCCTTTTCTTTTCCACCTCTATGCATGTTTTGATAATATTTAAGCTTGTTGGTGTTGATTGTCAGTACCTTTCCCTATGTGTTGTGGAACAGCCCTGATGGAGACTCCAACTTATCACCTGCTCAGACCCAACCACGGCCTGTGCACAAGTGGCCTCTGCGTCCAGGAGTCCTTGTGCATGTCAATGGAGCACACAGTCTCAACTTAGGGCGGTGTGAACCTGCAGTACCTTCTAGTTCACAAAATGTTACCCAAAATCACACAACGAATACAATCTCTGGGAACAGAGGGCGTGCCAAACTAACAGCTAGAAAAGCTAAGCAGAGAAGAGCTGCTAGTCTTATCAGTGAGGGAACTGATGACACAAATCAGCACAGTAGGGCAAACAAAATTCGACAGATGTTCATTAATGACAGTTCAAAATATCGTTGTGAAACCATGCCTGGGGTCTTCCATGGGAAGTCAGGAGGTAAGACTGAGACGAACATTAAATTCATTCACTTAAAACATCTGTACCAGTATTGTAAGTAGTGCTTCACAACCATGCTTGCTTTGTACCTGCATTTTTAATTCAATTTTGTTTTGTTTGGTGTATATAATTTGCAAATTTTTACTTTGCTTTGCTCCAAAAACTCTTTTACTAACTTATTTATCATTTGAAAAGTTTTATGTTGTTTGTTTGTGATTGGCATGCTATGTGTTTCATACTGTTTTTAGTGGTGACTTTCAAGAAACTAGATGGCCCTGCAAACAGTGGAGTTTCAAGGAAACGTAAAAAACCTGGGTCAGGTTAGTGTTAGTTGTACATCTGTTAGATAATACTCATGTACATCTAGATGGGCTGCTTGCAGCTACTTAGAGTTAGATGCTAAATATATTTATATTTTGTGTAATTAGAATTGAAATCATTGTAAAAACATAGAAAAATCTTTATAACTTAATAAAAATTTCATTATGTATCTGTCGTCAAAAAGCAATTCTTGGTAATTGGTTACATACATCATGATATTCAAAATGTAGATTAACATTGAAATTCAGCTTAAAAAAGTATATGATGGTGTATTTTTTCAACCATGATTTGTAAATCCTTTGGTATGGATAATATATAATAATTTATCTGACCTTGTTCTCTTTTATACTCCTGAATATTCTATCACTCCATTATCACTTTTATTACAGGTAGTATTTATAAAGGAGGTAATGTTCATCACATAAGTGAAATCATGATGTTGCCACCTTTTACATTTGTGGAATGTGAAACTTAGTGTATTAATAAATGTTCATCTTCATGACTTGAGAATTTCAAAATATTGAAATTATTCATACATCTATGATGAAACTTTTCAAGAGAATTTTCTTAAATGCTTACAAATGTATAAACCATGTTAGATTAAATTAATAAATTTCTTTGCATTTATTGCTTTGGTTTCAAGAAATTGTTTTTTAATATTTTGGCCAATGTTTTGGTGTGGAAACCAAACGTTAGCTGTTATCCCAAAATTTTGTCAAAATATAAGACAATAGAAACTGATTTACTATATGACTGGTTAATCTCACTATCTTACTTGAATATCATCTCAAATATTAAAGCTTAAAATATCCTGTTCACCATGCTTTATTAATGTACTTAATTAAGGTAATTTTATGGGTTAAATGACACATTGATTTTGCAAACTTCTTTATACTTTGAACTTAATTGCCTTGAATGATTTACTTTATTATAAGTAACATTTTACAAAACAGATAATTTTTTTTAAGATTTTTAGACCGCATCAAATTTTATTCTTCTAAGACTGTAGGCTGCATCAAAATCAAAGGTATAGGTCCAGTCTTTTCAGATGCCTTAGAGATTAAAAACTGCAAGAAAATGTCAGTGTGATTTTCTTTAACCCTTTTGAATTGTTACCATCCTATTTTACAGTAATCAGGTAACCTGTGTCAGTTCTAGAACTCTTTCAGAAGAAATTGTAGAAAGAAAGTGTTTAAGGGATATTCAAAGCATCAAGTGCTGTGAATTACTATATTACCTTTCTGGCTTTATATAATTCGATTCATCTGATTGATGACAATTAAACCTAATTGTATTGATGATAATGAAACAGAATTTTTAAAAGTAATTTTAAAAAAGTACTTGTATTGATTTTTTTATAACTTTTTATGCCCAAGGATGGACAAGCTGGGCTGCTGTATTATGTTTAATATTTGCTTTTATGCCGTGAATGCATAGCACAAATAAAAATGATTAACCTGAAAATACATGGGAAAGGTGTCACACTGTGCTGATAATAGTTTAAACTCCTTTATTTCGCATTAGGATGAATCAAAAATTGGATGAAAAGGTTAGAAATAATGTAAATAATGTTGTACATGAATTAGACCAGAATTCTAGAAGTCATCTTTGTCCTCAGAAAATCAGTCAGATACTTGTAAATTTCACGTAGTGAAATTGAATTTTTTTCACTGAACATCATCTTAATTTATTGATGCTCAAAGATGGTAAAGTTACTTCTGACATTTAAGGGAGAAATGTAATCATCTTAGAATCCTTTTCTTGGGGACACCAAAACAATCTATAAATTAATTTGTTTCTGAAACTTGAGATGCTGATAGAAGAAAGTACTCATTGGCTGAATTAAATTGTTTAAGAGTATTAAGAAATTTAACAATTATATTAAGTTGAAGTGAGATAATTATTTTTGCTGTGATACTGAATGTTATAATTTGTTCACATTTGTTCAAAGTACAAAAGATTGAACTTTTACTGGTACCTATCTTTCTTGTCTAAAGCTAACATTTTTTCCCTCTTCACTTCATGAAACTCTTCCCAAGAAAAATAGAAGGTCAATGTTAAATCAATTAACATCACATTACTTTAAGAACAAATATTTTCTGGCCTACTATATCCATAATTACAATATTTTTGGTAGGTTCTAGATTGTATCCATGCAATAATAAAAGTTTTGTTTCAAAATTCTTGTTATTGCCTTATTTAGTATTTTGTTACTCATTGTATTCACATACATGTATATATTTTTTTCAGGCCCAAGTCCATCAGCTACCAAAGATAAATCAAAACAAGACTTAGCCACATCCCCAAGTGATGGTCTTTTGCAGCCTGATGGAGACAAGGCATTTTATGAAAATCTCCCATTCCATGGCATGCAATCTGCACCCAACAAGGTAAGTTTTCTGACACTGGCTTCATTGTGTGAGAATGCTTCCATGTAGAGTTATTTTTTTCATACAAAACATCTACAGTGAAACCTGTCCACTATTTTATATAAAGAAAATGAAAGTCTTCAGTGAATATTTATTTCAGTTCCTCTTTTTATTGATCTCAAACTAATTCTTTTACTCCCAAGATGAATGTATAGCATTAAAATATATTCACATATTCTGTTCAATGTCACTCTTTTTAAGATATTAAGAGCTTTTTTTTCATTTCTGCAATTTAACTTGCATTTGATAACTATTGCACTGAATAGTCAGCAGATTCAGATAACACTTTTTGATTTTATTTTCATTTCTAGTGTACTTGATATATGTTTATTCAACATTAACAATCAGTGTCGAGTTTTTATCTCTCAGCTTTCCCTTCTTATAGGATGCTCTAGATTCAACACCTCTTATTTTAGAAACTGCTGTCTAACTGCATATTTTTATAATTTGATGTAAGTTGTTTTCTCTGTTATAATTGTTTTAGCATGCCTGTGAACTAATTGGTATGGAAAGTTTGAAGTTTATTTAACCTTACTAATGCATAACTGATATAAATTTCACTGTACATTCATTAAACATCTTTTTAAACAATTCCTAAAATTCATTGATAAGGGTGAGTGTTTGTGTGCCCTATTTTTAAGTAGTAGTTACAAAACATTACTGCTAACAGGTTTCACTGTTGACAATGTAGTTTGCATTTATTTAATTTACATAGTGTATGGTGCCAGGGATGAAATTAGTTAATATAAATAATTATGTCAGAAAAAAGGCTAAGAAAGTTCATTTCTTTAAAGTGGTATCTGTTTAGCAATTTAACCTGTCACAGAATTAAACAATGGTGAAGAGAAAACTTTATATTACTTCTGTGTCTGATGAAAACCAGAGATCACAAATCAATAAGAGCAACTGGGAATACTTAAAAACTGAAGATGAATTATATTAAATGTATTAGAATATTAAATGACAGTTTTTCAAACTCAGCACAGTAGGCTTGTCAAAAGCAGTTTTCATATTTATGATTTTTTGTTGGGGAAAATTAAAAGTATATTTAAATTACAGTTTTCATTTTGGAGTTCTACTTACCAATTTCCTAGAGGTGCATCATGAAACAATTACTTCTGTTAAAATTGGAATGCATGATTAACTAGGTATTCTTAATTAAATTTTGTTTTGTTTCCCATCCCGCTCCTTTTCTGAAAAATATAAATTACAACATTATGTTAAATATATTACTATCTGATGATTTTATTAATATGAATCAATTATGATGTGTTAATAATTATATTATTTTATTAAATTATTAACTATTATTATCTTATTGAAAGAACCTGTTTTCATTTATGCATGATGTGTTTCCATAGTTGATTCCATCATGAATGAACTAACATAGTTAATTTTCTTGACATTTATGATTGATTTATGAGATAAACACATTTGTGATTTTTATACTTCATCCCTGGTATTTTATTATGAGCTTCTTATAATGAATTTTTAATAAGTTTTGCATGTATTTTATTGTGTTTTTTTTTTGCTTATGCTTTTGTATGTGTGCCTGCATGTTGCATTGTTTTGCTTGCAGCCTGTACCTACTGGTCCCATAGCTCAAGCTGCTAGTAGACCCTCCAGCCAGCTGAGCCAGTATGGCTCCTCAGGCTACGGTTCAACACGCAGTCATATGGGTCCTCATTTACAGAGATCTCAGACTTTAGCTCTGGTAGCTAAGGACAAGTTCAATTCTTTGAGAATACATCCCCATAAAAAGCACTACCCCCAGTTTTATTCTATGAGATTACATCACAGAAACAGGAATAGAGTTGGAGCAGGAAACAATAAAAAGCAACATGACAGGCAACAAGAAAAAGTGTCTGTCCAGTTATCTACAATTTCTTCACAAGTGGATGAAATTGAAGATAAAAAAGATAAATCTGTGAATATAAATTCTGCTACTGTAGAACTTAATAACAATGATAAGAAGCCACCAGATAGGACACAATTGCCTATTCCAGCTCCAAGAAAACAAATTCCAAACAAATCAGTTGTACACACTTATCAAAATGTTCCTATCCCTATTGCATCAAAGTCACAAGAACTCACAATGACACAGGTTGGTTGATGAAAAATAGTTGTACAAGCACAAAAAAACTTGGTCTTGTATGAAAGTTGTCATTATTTTCACATTTTTATTTCTTCATTGTTTTCAACATACAATACCAAGTTTGTCCAATTGTTCTTACTAATCTAAAATTGTTTTTGAACTTTTTATTATTAAGCTGGACTCAGGCATATATGTTGCTACCGTGCTTGTATATGTGCCACGTGAGTTCCTTTCTTTAAACTTAATTTTTGTTGCTCAATAGTATTTATGTAAAGGTATTAACATTTTTTGGTAGCTTCAATGATAGTTAGATGTTATAGCTGTAGTTATTTCCTTCATAAATTGGTTTACAATAGAAGTACACAGAATGTTATTGTAAATATAATTTTAAAAAGATTAATGTGTGTTTACTAATTTAACTAAAATAATTACCAATACACTTTTTGAAGTTATTTCACAATGGGCAATATTTAAACATTACCAACATTCAATAAAGAACCTACGTGAAATATATTTTTCTCAATAATCAAAAACATTAGTAATATTCTTGTTTTTTAAGTGATAAAGTATGTGTTAATTCAGAATTAGCATTTGAAGTTTTTGGCATATGTAATGAACTATTTATTGCCTGTCATGCAGATTTTTTTTCATTTTGTTCAGACTTAAGACTGTATCTGTAAAACTTGTAATATCCTTTTTAAATTAATTGTGTCAGAAGGAAGATGACCTCTGTAGAAATAATGATCAAGAACAATAATTACTGAAATAATTATAACAGAACTTTTTGTGTCCTTGGTCAGGGGTGCCCAGAGAAAGCAATAGACATGTGGCAGTAGATCTACAGGGGTCCTTTATTTCAAACTGAAGTTCCATTCTCTCTCCTCCAAAATATAAACTGAATTCATTCCTCTATGCAAAAAAGTAACTTTTAGTATTAATTTGAATTAAAAATAAGCACAGTTTTTATTTATTTTGATTGAAAAAAAATTGGGGGCCCCAAACTCTTTAAAGCTTATCTGTAGATATCTGAACCACCGTATCATATTTTCTAATTTTGCATCATAGGCTCTCAGTCAATGTGATTTTTTCTTTAAGTTGCTTTCTATAAACATTACTTTAGTTTGTTGATTTGATACTTCAGATTTTGGACAGTGTATTACTTGTTTTGGTTGAAATCGAAAAGTTGCATGTATGAAAATTTGAGATTTCAATAGTGGTATTGAAAGAAATATGCTTATATTTCATCAATACTTCATTAATTCTATTTTCAAACATTTCATTAATAACTATCATATACTAAGATAAATTCCTTATTATATAAATAACCATATAAGAATCAACCACTAGGGTTTTGAAAACATTTGGTTTATTTATTGGGTTGTCAAATCATCTGGTATTGTTTATTATTGTCTATTATTGTACCACTAGGCATATCTACTATCTTTTAATATTTTTGATAAATAAACTATAAACCACTGAAACCACTGAAACTATAAACCACACAAGGGTGGAGGCAGGGATAGATGTAAGAGCTGAGGAAGGGGTTGAGGGTGGGTGAGGCGAAAGTGAGTTAAAAGGTGTGTTGTATTGGAACATTATTTTAAGTGTTTCTTGAAATGGCAATGTAATGGCCTAGTGGAACATTGATGTACCAAAACTTGTGAATGAAGTCTGAAAATAACTAAATAAAAACAAGATTATCATGATACTATATGAAATAATAAAACATGAAATGAAACAATTTTGCAATAACAATTAATTCTAGCTTTAAAGGGTTAAGTCAGGGTTGAGTCTCAGCTGCCATCCCCATCCCATTCTGGGCATCCCTGCCCTTGGCACATGCAAGAAGCTTATTCCTCTTTTTGAAAATTTTCCCTTCAGAAAAATTTTCACTTGTCTGAAATTCTTGAAGAGATCTTTTCATGTTTATTTGAGCTTTTCGATACTACTCAATGTAATGGAATAAGTAAAGTAATAAACTTTGACACAAGAACTTTTATTGTGTCTATGGCATTTAATGCTCTCAGTGTAAGAATATAATGGTTTTTTCACATGCCATTCCAATATTCACATGTCATTCTTGCACTAATTGACTGGAAGCTTTTCTCCTTTAGCCTCAAATATTAAAATTAATAGGAAGATAAAACACAAACATCATTGAGTTGAATGACTATTATAAACACAAAAGCCATTAGATGTTTTTAGATGGCATTTTTAGTACTTGAGCATAAAGTTAAGAGGGTTTTGTGAGTTTACATTATAGAGACATATTACTGGGTTTTTTCTTCTTAATATTTCTTATATGTGTTTACAAAACACTCTGTGTACTGAACATTTCTAAAGAAGTTAAATTTTTGTATATATTAGAATTATAGTGTAATATTATATAATTGCTCAAATAGAATTAAGGTTATATCAGCATTCCATATTAAACAACATAATATCTTAACAAAAAGCTTGCTACTAACAAGCATGCCCCATGGCTGTCCTTACAGAGCCAACTGCAAAGACAACAGCAGCAGCATCATCATCACCACTACAACCTAACATCACAACATCATCTACTAATGAATCCCACCAACACAACCCAATTTGGCAGCACCAGAAGGAGCCACAGCAGTAGAAATTACCTTCCCCCAATGCGACTGGAGTATCAACAACCTTACTACATGACTGATCCCTACGTGTCAGATAGTGTAGTATATGCAGATCTTGCATTGGCTACTAGTGGTGGGCGACGAGAACCTCACCTTCCTTCCCACTATAGGCCACAACAAACCCCTACTGAGTATGCCATCTTGAAGTTTCATGATGTGGGACAAGAAATTGATGTGTGAAGTGGTGCGTATTAACAAAAGACTATTCATTCCCTCTTTATTGCCAGAATACTACATCTTGTTTCAGCATAATTTTTAATAGGTAGTGATTCGTAGTTATAATTCACATTTCAATTTAATGAATACTACTTATTTCATTGCATGATTTTCAATCTCATAACAGATGCTCTTATTGGTAGAATTGTATTTTTTATGTCTGACGATATAAGTTCTATAGTGGCTATTATTTTGATGACTTTCAAATTCATGTTTTGTATACTGCACATACATTTTTTGAATTATATATTATTCAAAGAGCACCCTCAAGGAGAAAGAGTATATTTTCAGTGAGGACATATTTAGTTTATTTACATGCATATCATTTACACATAACACATTTACAAGCATTTCTGTACTATGATGATAGGCATGAAGGAAATTTGACATAATCTACTTTTAAAGTTTCAAGTTGCACAACTGAAACATTGTTTAATAACTCAAAATTTTAAGAATGCAATAAAATATCTAAATGTTCTTTTGAGAAAGTATTTATTTTAATAAATTATTAGTAATTGATAAATTTGCTGATGAGAAATAACTGTAATATGTTATTAAAAATTACATACTAATTTGTATAGTTTCATACACAAAATTGTGACTTGTTCACACCAAATAAAAAATTATATTTTTCCAAACTTCATGTTATAACAATAACTGTTTTGAGAAAAGATAGAAATCTGTTACAGAACGATATGAGAAAAATACAAAATTATTACAATTGCATAGAATCCACACCAATTATTTCTGTATCTTCTATCTGGAGTAGCAATCTCTCCAAAGTTAGCTTTTTAAGAACACACTCCTCAAAAAACTATTAATAAATGTGAATCATGTCTTTTATCAGGTGTATCTTTGAGGAGAGTGTGACTTAGGGAGTTAAAGTGGCAAAATAGTTTACATTCGAAAGGTGACTTACTTTATAATCAGCTAAGAAAAAATAATAACATGATTTTGATAATGGCAATGGCCAGGCACCAAATTTGTTAACTAGAGGTGCTCAAAAGCTGTAAAGATTTTAGTTTTTTTAAATAATATGTGTTTAACTTATTATTTCAATCTATTCTTTCAGCAGGATCGTCCCAAACCCAGCATTACTTACATTTATTAGAAGGAAGTGAACTCTTGTCATCTGAACAAATGAATATTTTCTTCTAGAAGTTCACTTTTCAGGTTGGCAATGTTCGTTTATTGAAAGTTTGGGATGTGTGTTTTGTAGCTTTTGAGCACTTTTGTTCATATTTGGTGTTTGCATGTGCTTCCTTCCTCCAAATTGTAAAATTTGTGAAAAAAAGCATGGCAGGCCCCAGATTTGTTAGTGGTTGTGACCTGAATATTCACACATTTGCAAGTGTTTGAGAAAGTACACATGTCTGTAAAATACGAGTAGGAAATTAGTACATACACCTGAAAAACAATGTTATCATATCATTAATTCACATTCTCCTTTTTTCTTTTTTCTTCCATTGATATTCGAAATTTGTGTTACCCATGAGGCATTCATTTAATGTTCTTCTACTGGAAAGCTGAAAAAATTGCTTTAAACATTTGTTCTTTGTCACAATTTTTTATATCAACAAAATTTTTGGGTTACAAGAGTTTTTTGCTGAAAAAAGAATTTTTCAAAATGTGATTATTGTTTCTTTCTTCTCGTTGAGAACAAAATCTACAATTGGGTCTATTATTTCTTTGGGTGCTTCCAAATGTACAGTTACTGAAAGAAATCAATTGTTTAATTCTACATTACCAATAACTAAGATTGGGTAAAATTCTTTAAATTTAGTATTTAAATGTTTTGCTAAAATACTTTATAAATAAGTATTTAAATACCTACACAAAATACAAAGGACTTGACGTGCTAAATACATACATATTTAAAATATGTCAAATACTCAAAATACTGTAAATATATAATAATTTTATATTGAATATTTATTATTGCAATGATATATTGTAATCATCAATTACAGTAAATTAGTAATTGACAGACATACAATTTTATGAACAATAACTATTGTAATGTATTGTAATAATATGTATAAACATTTTCAAATGTAAAATAATATCAAAAATATATGTAATACAAAGAAATGGAATTTCCTTTTAAAATTATTAATTTTTCAAACAAATCATCAGACAATAAATCCCTAGTTGGTGAATGTATAAAACCTGCAAAAGGAAAACAGTTCAATTGGCGTGGATGAACATAAACTAGTGTTATAATGAAAAAACACCTTTTTAATTATCAGATTACTGTTCAGGTTTTTTGGTCATTTATATTTATCATTTAAAAATGAAGAGAATCCAAATTCAATAGCTAAAAAGAGCTTTTATTGTGGTTCAATGAGGTGCATTCACTATCCTCATTCTTAACTATCTTCTTTTTCTTCTGTTTTTAAAGTATTTTAAGTATTTCTTTTTTTTTTAATACATCTACTTTATGCCTTTAAATACATCTTTAAAATACATCCTCAAAAAACTCAAAAATACAGTTTTTCAAATACAAAATATATTTAAAATGCCTATTTCAAATGCAAGTATTTAAATACTGCCCAATCCTGCCAATAACAATGTTACTTTTAAATTTCGAAGGATGTGATTTCCTGTATTGTTATGACTGTATGTTATGAGTATTGTTACACTACTTAACATTTAACTTAAATTTTGAATTGGTATTAATTTGTTTCGATATTTCATTACCATTATAAAAAAATAATAAAAAAAGTAAAATCTTGTAGGTGACTTTACCTTTTATTCTTGAACTACAAGATGCTGTAAGTGTTACAGTTTTTTAAAATTTTGTTCTAGGAATTATGTTGAAACACAAAAAACTTATTTTGTTCAAGTTAGGGTGATTTAATTTCCCCTCAGCTTCATTTGCTTCCCCTTAATCAAGGATCAGTATTATTGCCTTGCATATTACATCAAAAAATTACATATTACTCTTCTTTTTTTAATTTATTAAAATGGAATTTTTTAACTCTGAATTTTTTGGATTGTTTTGGAAAGTATTAGGATTTTTTGAATTTAAAAAACTATTTTTAAACTACCCTAGTAATTTGGGTGCAAGAGAGTAATTTGAGGAATTCAATTTGAAACACAGAGGTATTTCTTAGAACGTTATTCTCAAATATAATGCATAAATACAAATTCAACCCTACAGAAAAAAGTTACGATACCCCGCTTCACTGATGACTTGGTAGGGGCAACAAATGTGTAAAAAAAAAAGCACTGATATCTGTCCATGAAATAATGATATGTAGGGCAGCGAGCATCGATCAGTATAGTATCTGATATACAGACTTAGTCCAAATAATATAAAATGGTAATAAATGATAAAATTTGTGTGTGTTTTGTTTTGTTTTCACCTTAAAATCCTGATTTATGTTTCAACTGTATTTCAGAAAACAATAGTATGTATACCTCATTGTTCTACTTCAAATCTAAATAGATTTATAAATTGTCAGACAATTATCAGAATAATTTCAAATATTTTAAGTTTAATAAGTTGTTCAATTTTGATTAGAAGAATGGATTTTTTCCATTGACATTCTACTATTTCAGAGGGGCATCTGATGAACTTTTCCTTTTTCATAGTTTAAATAAATGTGAAATTATAAGGTACTTTAAAGAATCATATTACATTAATCATTTTTATATTTTTTTGAATGAGAACACTTATTTGCAGTACACAGAGTAAAAGTACATTTGTTCATTCATGAGCTTTTAATAGAAGATAATGTTTTTACAAAAGAAAGTGTTTATTGCCCTAATATCATTGGCAAAAATACTTTTATAAAAGAATTAACGAGTTTCAAGAAGTAAACCCAGCACATCATTTTATGTGAACAACCACTTTTTGTTCAGTCATAATTCAGTTCAAGTACAACTACGTGAATATGAAAACTTATTGCATATACCACCCTTGTGCCTTACAAGTTTTTGCATATATTTCCAAGTGCTTTATGAACATTTTTGTTGTATTCTTGCTCTGAGTTTTAATGTATTCTTGCCCTTAATGCTCTCTTTAAAGAATCAAAAGCATTAATATCATTAAAGCATGCTTTGAAAAATTTTAAAATTACTAGCATGTTTTCAGAAATTTACTTTTAATTATTGTTTTAAAAAATTTTTTTTTTCTTTCTAGCCATTTCGACCAGAATTCTCTGACTTGGACTATGCAGATGTGGATTATCGCTCTTATGGGCCCATAAACTACAAGAAAGCTTCCATTGAAGCTGCAAGTCAACGCAAAGCTAAGAACGACAGCCCAACAAAACCAATCTACCCACAGAATAACCAATATTATGACTTACTATAAAGCCGTGCATTTATACCTACCAATGGGCTCTCTATTTTCCCTGTTATTTCCTCATGAGGATTCAAGAATTTTGTTGTATATAGATCTGCTAGGCTGCATAACATGATTAACCTGTGATTAACCACAAAACTGATATGTGTTCTTTCCTCTGCTTAACATCCTGGCTCCTGTTTTCCTAATATAGCTGTGTCTGCCAATAACTAATACAGTGACAAGACTTGTCATTTATGGTGGTGCTTTGTGACTCTTTCAATATGTACTTCAACAAATTTTCAGTGACTAAAGTGTTTTCATGTGTGGTGATGGACACAAACAATGTGTACTGGCTCTAATGTACAGTTGCCAAATAAACAATTCTATCCAGTACATTTAGGTTGTGAGTGTTTTAATAAAGAAGTTAGTTTTTTTAATGTATATAAGCATATGTAAAAACAATCAGATTTAAAGAGGAGCTTTTAAAGTTATCATTGTAAGAAATGTTAGTGTGATAATTAGTGGGTGACCGATGTGTGTGAGTGAAAACACTGGGGAAAGTGTACGCGTAGTGATATGGCTTCCACCAGATTTGCAGGAAATACCAGAAATGGGAGTCAATCCAGGTATTTTTGTATCCATGTTATGTGCACAAAGTAGATCAAAAAATGATGGAACAATCATGCTTAATTTTTTTGTATATACCAAATAAGCTAGAAGTTTTTACATCGTCCAATGTTATGAAAAGTTTGGAGTTCTGAGTTTCTGAATAGCCTGTCTTGAATTTATCAGTATATGCTAGGGAAGCTGTTAGTTATACTGTTATGAAGCCAATTATCATTACTCATTTCTACAAAAGAATTTTGCAATGTGAGCAATGATTTAATAATGGTCTCTGGACATGTAAATATCTTTGCTCAAGAATAACAGAAGATACAAGTGATCAAAAAATCTCCAAGGTTATTTGGTATCATTTCACCTATGCATGGATTACTCTCAAGAACATAAAGTGTCATGGATATTGCTACATAAAATGTTTACTACAATTAAATTACGTTTGTAAGAAAATATTAATATATGTTCTAGTCCCATCTCAGCAAACTTTGCATAATTCTGTAATTACTGTGTATTGTTAAGTGTTGAAACTCAAATTTCAGACCAGGATTCCAAGATGATTTACAGGAATCCTGGATATTAGGTCGTGTAAGTCAAGTTGCTTTTCCAGATGTATGCTAACCAAAGAAAGAATTATGTTACCTGTATAGCAATGTGCTTGTTAATTTTGTTGATATATTCTGTATGTAATAAAAATGGGAATGGAAGGTACACTTGTTAGCACCTTCTATGGCTTGTTAATAATGCATAGTAAACTGGGACATACTATGTGCAGTGCATAGCATCTATTGTTTGTAAATTATTGGAAACTAGTAGTAATGTACAAAGATGATTTCTGGATTGACACATTTCTCTACAAAAATAGTCTTTCCCTAATACCATATAATATTTGGTGTATGATAACCCATTTATACAAATTGTGAACATGCTTATATATTTTTTAAATTGAATTGTTCCTCTTTGCCAGAACTTTAATACTGTAATCTGGATTGTTAGCACCTATATTTGTTATGATAACAGGTGTCAAATGTAACCTGTATGTCCATGTGTATGAATATGAAATCATTGTTTTGTGACATATTTTCATTGCTGGTATGTTTGTTACATGTTTGTCATAAAGTGAATATTGCAGTATTTGGTTCCTGTAATTTGTGCAGAATGGAAACTATGAACAATACATCTGGGATGGGACATTCTTGTATGTGTTCTTTTTCAACCACATGAAAGTGTCTCTCATTTCTATATTACCAATATATACTAGTTTCCAAAGACAGTCATATTTCAATATCATGGTTGATGCTTGGATATATTAACTGGTTATTTGTTCAAAGAAGAAAAAAAACATGTATGTAATTGTTGGTATTAGATAAAATAACTATATACGTGACTTCCTGGTAAATATCTCCATGCCGCTTTCCATATATTCCAGCTTCTGAAGATAGGCAGCAGCCATGAAATGGTAACAGAGGTGTCTGCCGAGAAGTCTTCATTTTATACTTTGTTGATATACTTAATACCAACATTTGTAAATTAGAAGCAATGTGTTAAACAAACCTAAAATAATATTTAAACCTGTAATTTCTTTTAAACCCTTTTTACACCAAATAAGTTGAAACTGCAAAGATGACCAATTTTGAAAATTTCACCTCAATTTCTTAAATATATTTTCTCTGTGGAAATTTTGAATTATAGATTTGTGAATTTTTAAGCTTTTTAATCAGTTTCAAAATAATTATTTAAGTAAAAAGCAAAGTCACGATACAATCTGACCAATATTCATTGTAGAATGTCTACAAACTTAACCATTATACTATTCTGTATTGTAATATTACTATAATGAAACATGGAACACATACTGAGCTTCCAGAGAAAGCATTATCTCCAAGTCATCCTGCATTTTTTCATTTGGTTGTGGGGTTTTGCAAGTGGTTCATAGATGTCATTTCCACACCAAATACTATCACAAATTATGAATGCCAATGCTCAGTTAATATTGTTTCAAAGATTTGGAACAACCAAAAATAGAAACTGTATGATACCTAACTTTGTACATTAAGAAAATATTTATAGTTATTAAAGCAGTTATGATTGAAAAGTAATTTAATTCCTGGTAGGCATGTTACAAGACTTCCAAAACTATGACTTTAAAATATTTTGCTGACATGACAAAAGCTTGTTGAACAAAGAAAATAATTAATTTCCCTGGAACAATGGATTAAAATTCTATTTGCTAGAATTTGAAAAAAATTAAAACAAAATTCATATCACATTAATATTGAAATTGATATCACCATCCAACATTAATACCTTTCAAAATGGTAGTGGATAGGTCTAATCTTTGGGAAGGGGATGTAGACACTAGCTTTGAAATTTAGTTAATTGTACTCTCTCGATAATTCTGTAGCGTATAAATTTAATGAATTCAAAATTATGAAGTTGAAAAAAAATTGTTGTTTTCAAACAACTGCAGATTGATATATATTTTTTTAATTAGAAATGAAATATTACTAATTTTATTAATCTGAACAAGTCAAAAACTAACTGACATACATTAAAGAATATTTTTAATTACAAAATACAAATGAGATACACAGATATTAACAATGTATTAGTTCAATTTTTTAAATGCAAATGTCATTAAGATCTGTACGTTTCATTTGTATTTTATTTTAAAAAATCTTTAAATAACCATTATTTAAGTTTGTTAATTTTTGGCATGTTCAGGTTAATAAACGTTTTACATACAAAATTTGAAAGAAAAGACATATGACAATTATCTGGAATGAAATAAATTATGCAAATTGATATATGTGGTTGGTTCTATGGTTCATAATTCTTGGGAAAACAAATGAAATATTGTTTTATTGTATACCTCATAAGGTTTTGTGAAAAGTATCAATTACTAACTAATCTTTGTAAATATTCACAATATCATCACATAATTTATTTAAAATATATCAAATTTTTAGTTAAATAACGGAATGAATATATCCATTAAGCACCTTAAAAAAACTTTCATATCATACTACCCTGATACATGAAAATTTTGAGTTGATCTCAATAGTGTGTAGTGGGGGAAAATACTTATATATAATGGAAAACAATTATTAAGAATGCTGAAATGAAACATCATCTCGATTAAAAACAATAGTATTTGCAGCAAACAGTTTTCCCTTCTTTTTTAACAATTTTGTAATTTATAAAATATATATACAAACATTTTTTTGTTCTCTTATTTTCTCATTTCATAAGCAAAGCAAGTTCTACTTTAGAGTTATATTTTTTTGGGTCAGACACAAATTTTATCACTGACCCCCATCCATGACACATTCAGATTAAAAAAGTTTGTCCTATGTTTAAAGTTCACTTTCATATGAAGTACAACTGAAGCATATATAAATACTGCATTGTATTGCAGTGACAATTAGTATCTAAGTATGTTGAATAGGATATTTAAAACACATCTAATGTGAAGGATGTGAATGCAGAATAATTTCTTAAACTTTTCAACTAGCCTTTTGGTCTGGTGACTTCATTACCAGCAAGTGTAATGTAAGTTCATCTTTAAATTCTCAGGTGCATATTTTTTAAAGTTCGTTTAACTCCTTCTTCGCATACCGGTAAATAGTATGCAGAAAACTTCTCGCTAAAACTTTTGGGTTTCCGTGCATACAAGATAATGGAGGAGATTGCATACCGAATAAAAGTTCAATTTCCAAAAGGTGAAATGCATTCAAGAATATGGACTGACGTTAAAAATATACAAATCGTAATAAGAAAAAAATTACGAAACGAGCATAGAATAACCCAAATCTAATTAAATAACGCTCATTACTTATACCGTAGTGGTATCTGTAGTGTGTGTGTGTGTGACGCGTATATATATATATATATATATATATATATATATATATATATATATATATATATATATATGCGTGCAAGCATTTGATTGCAGTACAGTGCCCACGGAGGACAGCGTTGCCACTTCTGACACAGCGCTTACGCGCAACAATCGCCTTGCTGGATACTCAAATTGACATGAAATTTTACCAGCTTGTTCAATACCTTTCAAAATCCATAAAATAAATTTCATTGTGATATGAAGCATTGCAAGTGGTGTTTTGCAACAATTAGTATTCAGATTGTTCATCACGTGCTGCCTATCGAAGCGCAGAAATCTCCACGCACCACCTGTCTTGACGAGGTTGAACACGTGCATGAATTATCCAACTGCAATTAATCATTGATGTATACAAGTTGCAAAACATTTTCGACAATTTTTATACGGTATTCCTTAATTTAATGTAATAAACTATCTTTTGCAATGTAAGATTCTTTACGGGTTCCCCTAATGAATGGCCGAATTCTAATGTATACTTGAATCACTTTCAAATAAAGTTAAATAATAGTTTCAGTAAAATAATTGTCATCAAGTAATAAAAATTTTCACTTGCCAAAATTATTTTAATTTTGTAACGATGAGACTCCCTCTATCCCTTCACATGTTTCACTTCCGTTCTCTTCAGATAAACCTGAGGAGTTAGATGACGGAAGACGACGATGTTGATAAATTAATTATTAATTATTCTACATCACCTTCCTACATCTTATTTTCACTTCGTGTGAAATGTAGTTCTGCCAATTTTCCTGCGTCACCTGTTTGAAACCTTCGCGTATAAAGGGTTCCATTTCTTGGGGTGGTCTTGAATGAAGTATTTCTCATTGCTACGTAATTTTTTACCTGTACCCATAACATTTCAATGGGGATAAGTTCACAGTGGTAAGAAGGTAGGTAATACTTCACATCCACTCGCCATTGCAATTTAATCAATTTTAAATTTTTCGTATTTTGGTTTCTCTTTTTTGTCAATGGATAATAATTCTCGCTTTAATAGATCCTCTTTTTGAGCAATGTTTTTCTCCTGTAGCCATATCTGGATAGACTCTTTCCTCCACTTGTTCGTTGGCAAAGCCTCGCATTTTCTGCAGTTCGGAGCGTTGTCTATAACTATTACGGAGTCCTTCGATACATGAGGTAGCAATGTCTGCTCATTGTTCTTTAAGTTCTCCACCCACTTCATCGTGAGCATCTGCAGTGTTTTTTTGCATAGCATTACCAATTAATTCTGCTTCAACTAAACCTCCCTCAGTGCTTCTAGCATGTAACAAGGCGAAACGAGGACCCATGGACGCCGATGACTTGAGACCAACACTCAAACCTGCAAGAAAAGCTTGGCGAGGTGTTTTAATTTCAGTATCTCGCCAAGCTTCTTGAACACTGTGCCTAACATTAACCCACGACTCATCAGTATAAAAAATAGTTTTGCCTTCTTTCCGAAACTTTCTAATGTCTCTCAAATATTTGTGTCTCCAAAAAATAATGTCGTCCCTTTCCATTAACATTGCCATCTTTCCTTTTCTTTCTTAAACAAAATCGATATCCTGCAAGATATTATGCAACGTGGATCTTGATAAGTTAGGCAAATTTGTATTAGCATTGATAACATTCATAATTTTTTCAATGTCGGGGGTGTATTTTTAAAAAAGAAGTCATAAACTATTCTCCGCATTTCAGATTTTACGTATTGTGTATGAACTGCCTGGCATTTGGTTTGCTATGAGTTCTCTTTTTACCTGGTGTCATCAAACTGTCTTGGCAGAATCCTTTCAAAGCTTGTAAATGGTTCTTTCCGAACAACTTGTTGAAACAGACGTTTCTTTGATAGTAGTTGAAACGTTATATTGTTTACTAAAATAAAAAAAACATTGATAATAATTCGGGGTTCTTTGCTTCGCAAAGTTTCTCCACGACGCCTTTTCTTGAGAGAAACACTAGACATTCTTGCAAGTAAGGGAATATACAATTAATGAAAAATGGAGATGGTAAACACTATGAGTTTTTAAGACACTGAGACCCATATTCGCACAGCTTGAAACTCTAGTTTACTCTACTGATCAATGTTGAGAATATTTGGTGCTCTCGCTTCCAACACCGGATGTCACGCGAAAAGGTAGCTACCTTCCCACGCACGAGTGACATCGATATCTCCGGATATCACATGCGACTAAGATATTTTTCGTCCCTTTATACTAATAAGCAGGACTGGATTTCGACAGCGGAAGTCAACGTTTTTCATATCTTTGCGTACAACTCAAGTCTAGACAAAGTTAACATACCATTTGAATGAAAATCACTTCAATACATTTTGAATAGATGACTTAGCAAAATACGTCCAACTCCTTGCGAAACATTGTTTATGCTTCAAACACTGATGGGACTTGAGCTGCTTTTTTGCACAAATGACATCGATATGAAGATCAATGTTCCTAATTTTCAGTCTCATTCATTTTACTTGTCCAGTCTTTATTTTTACGCAAAATAAAGGTAAAACGCCAATTCATAAACGTAATATGACGTGGATGGTATTAGATACTGCAAGAGACAAGGCCTAATATTCTTTTTCAACATTCAGCTAAAAATTTGCCACATCTTTGCATTTGAAAACACATTTTACGACAGAATTATTGGTTGAATGACTTTGGAATTAATAGTGTTAATTGTAAAATTTCTGATTCAATTATTTTGATATGATTATTGTATTTCATTGTTTAAAATAAGTGAAATTCTAAAATAAATACTCTCCCCCCCCCATCACCAGTTTAGAATCGTGAAGACTTATTAAAAATCACCGACCGGCATGAGATGTTCGTTCCGATAGCACGGAATATTGTTTTTATCATCGTCTAACTCAAGAACCATGATTCATACAGAAACGGGGATGGTCTCATAACACAATTTGGACTTCCCGTGTCATTTCTTCTGCCGGATGTTTGTGCTTTTCTTCAATAACAAAAAAGTTTCTGACATGGTGAAAAATTAAGGACGTCAAAATTTAAAAGTAAACACTCGGTAATCATTTATTATTAATTTCTTTGTAATTAAGCCAGGAAACGCAATTACAAAATAACCATCACATTTATAGAAGTTTTGGGAATACCTGGTAAAAAACTCAGTTGTCTAATATCAACACAATTGAAGCTATCGTTGAGTAAACATGTTAAATATTTGCGCGTGAAACAGGATGGACGGGCCCAATAACCCCGACCCTTGTGAATTGGCAACACAGTTTGCGGTACAAAGGGAGAGTCTTATGTAAAATTGTATTAGAAAGAGAAGGCAATATTCCAATAAGGCTCCGTACTGCAATCAAATGTTTTGATGCACTCTAGTGGCAGCAAGGGTGAACTTGTTTTGAAGCTCTATGACCTCAGTGGTGTCCGTGCTCTTCTTGCTGTTACCACGTTTGGAGCATTTTTGTGCATTTTGGGAAGTGAAAACTTATGTAAGTCATCCATTCTTTATTATTTGCATACGTAACGTTTCGTTCTTGGTTGTGTTATTTATGTTGTCCAATAGAGCACAGGGGTAGAAGGAGGTTCACTTTTGTATTTTTGAAGATACGTTCCGGTAAGGGCACCCATGTGTCAAAACCTCCAAAGTATATGTACAGTAGGCGCGAAATGTGGAATATAATGAGATTGAGAAATATGAAATGGTATCCCATGTTTGTATACTATTGCAGACACCAGAGAAGAAGAGTGGGTCCAATGTTTATGTGAAGAATGGGCTCACGTACAGCATGCGCTGTAAAACGTAGTCACCATTCTAGAATATTTTTCTGTAATTTATAGACTACAATTGCTACTATCTACTAGTTTCTGTTTCATGCATGTTTCTTTAAGTATTGTCTGCGTAATGATAATGGGTTATGAAATAATTTTATTTCGTATAGTGTTTAATTGTTTGGCCTGATTACATGAGTGATCGATTACACGTATTCCATATTTGTCACTCATTTCGTACTTTCCGATATGTGCACTCGACAAATTTATTTTCCGGTATTGCTATGTTTTCTCAGCATACAAGGACAACATTT